TGAACATTTTTTCATATATTTATTGACCATCTGAACTTCTTTAAGAAGTGTGCATTCATTTCTGTTGCCCATTTTTTGATGGCGATTTTTATTGAGGGGTCTGATTTCTTTGAATTCTTTTATACATTCTAGATATTAGTGCTCCGTCTGAGGAATACCTAGCAAAATTGTTACCCACTCTGTAGGTAGTCTCTTTACTCCAGTGATTGCTTTCTTTACTGTTTAGGTTTTTAATTTGATATGATCCCCTTTGTCGATTCTCTTTTTTTCCATTTGTTGATTCTTGATGTTATCTCTTGTGCTGTTTGGGCGTTATTCAAAAAGTCCTTCCTAATGCTGATGCCGTCAAGATTTTTACTAATTTTAATTTCCAGTGGAGAAAGTGTTTCTGTTTCAATATTTAGATCTTTGATCTATTTTGATTGTAATTTAGGACACAGTCGGGAATATGAGTTACATTTGATCTTCTGCATGTGGATAGGCAGGTTCCCAGTAGTGTCTCCAATTTCTGAGTCTTTTCCATAGTCTTAGACACAGGTCAGATCGACATTCATTGGCATCCTGTCTTGAAAAGTGCTGAGGTTTTAGTTTTTCTAGCTCCATGAAGTCACTTTTTTTTTTTTTTTTTTTTTGTCTTTTTCCTTTTTATCGGTACCGGGGATCGAACTCACGACTGCCTGCCTGCAAGGCAGGCGCTTATGCCACTGAGCTAAATCCCCAGCCCCATATGAAGTCACTTTCTGTTCCTCTACTTGCATTTCATCTTCCAATAATGTGTCATTATCTCTTATCTGTTGTTATTTCTTCTCTGTTCTGTTTGTCCTTTTGGGTTTCTAATATTTACTCTCCTTTTAGGTAGAACTGGGGAAGGCATGTGGATAAGCTCATGTTTAATTCACCAAGTATAGTTCAACAACCTTTTCCTTTGCTAAAGCCCTCAAATCAGTTTTATAACTCTCCTATGTTCAAATCAAATAACTCATCACTTTATTTAACCTCAGTCTGGTTTATTGTAATGCAGGCCCCATAGTTCTTAATTATGACCATACAAAACATCATCTATGGGTAGAGACCCCCAGTAATTTTAACTGGAATCTCTGAGTTGAACATGTATAGCAAATATTAGGTGCTTCTGCAGTATTGTAAGATTTGAGAACCAAGAGCACAGGGTGGTGCTGGGATGTCTGAGTACATTTATGCTGCTCTAATAGAATATCCGAGAGAGGGTCATTTGTATAGAGTACATAGGTGAGTTTCACCATTCGGGAGGCTGGGAAGTTGCAAATCAGGGTGCTCATGGTTTGGTTGTCTGGTGAGGGCTTCTTGTCTCTTTCTTGAAGCTGCATCCTCTGGAGGGGAGGAGGTCTGTGTCCTCACACGGTGACAGATGGAAGAGCAAGCCAGCCAGACCCCCATGGAGTCTTTCACCAGGGCTCCAGTCTCATTTATAAGTCTTTAAACTAACTTTTAAAATACATTACTCTGTAGCATCAGCCCCATTGTTGTTTGTTGCTCTGTTTGATGTCAGTGAGCGCTAAGGGACTTTAGCAGTGCCATTACCTGCCCCACCAATCAGAATCCCACCTGGCTACTAATTACCTCCTTCCTCAAACACCTACAGCAGCAGCAGCAGCAGCAGCAGGACAATCTGAGAGGTTACCTGCTGGCCACATGACAGCTCTCTCCAACAGTTCATGAGTGAAGGAACACAGACCATCATCAAAAAATACTTTTCTAGTTTCTTTGAAAACTTTGAAAGGGGACCTGAGTTTGGTTTTGATTTTTTTTTTTTTTTAAGCAGGAGAACCAAGAAAATAGGACTTTGGCTTTCTAGCCTAGATGGGCAGCATGGAGCCTGTGTTCTACCCTCATCTTTTACCCAAGACTCAGTTGTTTGGGAGCTGAGCTTCCCGAAAGTCAACCTGCAGGCTGCTGTGACCATGTGCCACTTCCTGGTGCACGCTGTTCTCTTTGTTAATGAACTTTTTATGTTGCAGCACCGGAGCAGACCAGCATTAAATATTTCACAGGCCACAAATGGGTTTTATTGGTTTGCCTTTTCCTGAGCAGCAGCTGGAGAATGATTCACAAAGAAGCAATTTTCTTGACCCTTCTCTAACAAGCAAATCACTTATTGGTCCAGGTTACTGTTTACAGATCCTGGTTGAATGCTTTTAGGTTTAAGTAGCTCATTCTGTTTTGCACTGCTCCCATACCACATGTTCCTTCTTGAAATTGGGTTTCAACCTTATACCATCCTCCAAACTGGGAAATGATATGCAAGCCAGGTCTGTGCCTACATTGCATAAAGACCTTTCAGAGGTCAGGTTTAAAATACTTCTAGGTAACTGATGCATTCAATAATATTCCAGCAGTGACGTTGTGCTAAATTGTCCACAACTCTCTCACGTACTTATTCCGATTTAGATTTCATGGTAACTCTGAGAGATGAGATAGATTACCTTCTATTTCACAAATGAGGAAATTGAAGTTTAGAAAGTTTAAATGTCTCTATGAATACTAGAAAGTGCTTGAGGTTGGCTCAAAAAATTCTTTTTTTTGTGATAGACAAAAAGAACATAAGACTTCCCACCCTTATGGTTTACAGCTAGAATACAAAGCCTCACATGATCTGAGGTTGGTCTTTGGGCAGGAGCCTGGGCCCTGGGTCTGACAGCCAACTTGCTGCGCAAAGGTGGGGCCTGATTAGAGGTGGGTAGCTGGGGGTGCAACTTGGAAGTGTGCTTCTCTCTCCCTGGCTCCTCCCTTCGTCCTCTGCTTCTTGGCTTTCACAACTGAGCAGCTCTCCTCCACAAAAGGCCCTTCTTCCACGCCATTTCTGCTGTAGAGGTAGCCAACTGTGGACTGAAACTTCTTCCTCCTTTGGGTTGTGCGTGTCAGATATTTTGTCCCAGAGAAGCAAAGATGACTAATATACCATCTTACCTATTTTTACGTGTACAGTTCAGAAGTGTTATGCATAATTTTTTATATTGTTGAACAATAAATCTCCAGACTTTTTTAATTTTGCAAAACTGAAACTCAACATACATTAATGGCAGTGACTCCCCATTTCCCAGGCCATGGTAACTACCATTCCCTTTTCTATTTTTAGGAACTTGACCGCAGATATCTCATGTTAGTGAGAACAGGTAGTGTTTTATCTGTGACTGGCTTTTTTTACTAACGTAATAAATTTAAGATTCATTCATACAACAGCATGTGATAATATTCATTCCCTTTTTAAGACTGAGTAATATTCTACTGTAGACATATATCATATTTTGCTTATTGGTTAATCATTTAATGAACAATTAGGTTGGTTTCACTTTGTGGTTTCTCTGATGCTACTGTGTACATCAAATAATTTTTGAGGTCTTCTTTTCAATTATTTTGGACGAAACTGGAATGCTTGATTATATGGTCATTCGATACGCATGTGTATATGTATATATTTATTGCAGGACTGAGGGTCAAACCCAGGGCCTTAATTACGATGCTAAGCAGGTGCCCTACAACTGCACTACATTCCTCAGCCCCTTTATTAACGTCCAGGTGGGCCTCAAACTTGCAATCCACCTGACTCAGCCCTCTTAATAGTTGAGTTTACAAATTTGTGCCACCATGCCTAGCTCAATTTTTGGTTTTGAGAAACTATTACAGCATTTTCTACAGTGCTATCACCATTGTACAGTCCCACAAAGAGGTATCGATGGTTCCAATTTCTCTATATCCTCACTATTTTCTTTTTTTGATCAGAGACAATCTCATGGGTGTGAGATGCTTGAAACCTAGCTTTTGATAGCAAGTCAAGTGTTCACCCACAACACAAAAATGGCACCACACTGTACCAAGCACAGCTGTCTGCAGAATACACATCACAGAAATAGAGGCCTTGAACCCAATGGACCTGTCTGTTCCGCACCAGGATGATTCATACAGGAACAGAGGACGTTTGCAGTATAGCATGGTTATGGAGTGAACTGTGTTCCCCGAAAATTTGTGTGTTGAAACCCTAACCACCCTAACCACATATGATAGTATTTAGAAATGGGCCTTTGAGAGATAACTAATTTTAGATAAGTCAAAAGGATGAGGCCTTCGCAACAGGACCAGTGTTCTTATGAGAAGAGACTTTAGGGGCTGGCGATTTAGCTCAGTGGCATAAGCATCTGCCTTGCAAGCAGGCAGTCGTGAGTCCGATCCCCGGTACTGAAAAAAAGAAAAAAAGAAGAAGAAGAAGAAGAAGAAGAAGAAGAAGAAGAAGAGACTCTAGAGAACTTCCATGCTTTGTCCTTTAATGGTCACAAAAAAAGATGTCATGTGAGCACACACCAAAATGGCGGTCACCTACAGCTCAGTGAAAAAGCCCTCACCAGAAACTAACCATGCTGGCACCTTGATCTTGCATGTTTACTCTCTACCACAGTGAGAAAACAAATTTCTCCTTCTTCAGCCACTAAGTCTATGCTTACTTTTTCTGGCATCCTCAATCTGTTATTATTTTATGGCAGACTAAGCCAAATGACTTGACTATTCCTTTCTTCCTGAACCTTGTCCAGTGTTTATTACCTGTGATGGTGAATATTATCTGAAACTTGTCATAAAGCTGCAAAATTCCACAATAATTAAGTTCAGAGGATCTGGAAGAAAGGCTATCATCAGTGATGCGTTACCTTAGATGAATAAAAGGTAGGCCAAGGAAAGACTCTGTATACAATACAAATCTTCGGAATGGGGCTTGAAAGTACAGGCTTCTGAGAATTTTCAGAATTCATTGTGGATGTAGTGCAGGTCAGCTTCAGACTCACAGTGATCCTCCTGATCCAGCCTCCCAAATGCTGGGATACGGGCATGTCCCACCACACCCAGCTGCCACGTAGTCTTGTCTAGAAATAGAAACCTGATCATCCTGTGCCTCCTGCCCACTGAATCTCCGATCTCTCGCTCCCTCCTACTCTTTTCCAGAGCAGATTCCCTAATTATTTCTAAGATGTGAAGCCAATTTTGGGCTGGCTTCATTTTTTAAATGTTAGCCTTTGCCCATATTCTTGGCAGGAAATTATTTCTGTGTTTTCCATACATGGAAGAAGATGTTGAGAAACTGGCTTCTCTCCCCTGGAAGTTTTCCCTGTTTAGATGAGCGGAGGAGGCAGGAAGTATCTCGTTTCGGGGGCTCAGATTAATTTCCTACTCATGCCTGGTACCTGGCTGTGGATGTTCTTAATGGCTGTAGATATTTCAGGCTCAGCTAGTGAAAAGGAGGCTGGAAAGAAAATTACCTGAAAATGCATTGTTTGCATGAGTTGAAGATAAAAAAAAATTGTGGCTTTTAAAGCTGCAATTTACTGTGACCTAGCCAAGCTAGGCAGTGGGTAGAGTATAAATTATAGTCACCAGATACCTGGTTTATAGACAGAGGCTTAGGATCCTACGTGGTGAGGGGTAAAAACAGACTGCTATGAAGCGGAGTGACCTGGAGGTCGGACACATTCTGTGGAACTACTTTGCCGCTTTTCGGTAAGCTGCTTTTGGATCCTTGAGTACTTGGATTGTGGGCGTGGAGCCGATGGTAAGGAGGGAGCCCGTGAGTCGCACCTTGATTATTATTCTTTATGTTCTCCCTAGAGCTAGGCCCCACTGCTAGTCTTCATTGCATAATAGATGTTTGTGTTTCTCCACCATCACTCGGTGTGCGCTACCGTGCATTCTTCTTGCTATATTCTGCCTGCCAATTAGGTTACAAGCAAGGACCAGGACCATGTGTTCAGCATCTCCAGTGCTCTCCTAAGCATGGTCTGCCAGGAGCAGGAAAGGGCAGACAAAGTAGGCAAGAGTGTGGCACTAGGGTTCTTCTATTGGGGCTGGGGATTTAGCTCAGCGGCATAAGCGCCTGCCTTGCAAGTGTGTGGTAGTGAGTTCGATCCCTGGTACCGACAAAAAAGAAAAAGACAAAAAAAAAAAAAAAAAAACAAAAAACCCACTAGGACTCTCCTATGAATGGGGAACAGACCAAAGCTGAGTTAGATGAAGTTGCAAGGTTCCATATGATTAAAAGAAAAACACATATTACAGCAAGCTATTAGCTAAAACACTTCCCATCAAGTATGTCTAATAAGAGTGGGTTTTCCTTGGATGGGTATAATACAACGATGGAGACACAAGGAGAAAATCATAGTCAGCAGTGAGACAGACAAAGAACAGAGCCAGCATTTCTTCTCAGTAGCAGGAGCTTAACCACTGTTTTGATGTGAGGCATGGGATCTTGTCACTGAGGACTGAAGATATAGTGACAACTATAGTAGTCTTTGATTCCGAAGGCCTCCCAGTAAGGGGTGCTTGTCTATATGTGAAGTCTGGAATTAAACTCCCTGATTTTATGTCCTGTTACTATGTGGGTCATCCTTGAGCATTTACTAAACTTCTAAGTGCTTCAGTTTTTTCATTCAATGTACGAAGAAAGTGGTGATACACACCCCACTGGTCATAGAAATTAAACGGAGTAATCTGTCTTAATCAGAAAGGACAGTAACAAGCACACAGAAACATTTAATAAATGTTGGGTGCAATTCTTGCTTTTAGGACAATCAGTGCTATGGTTATAAGATTGAACTACAAGAAATTGCTATTTATTTTGAGTTTTTGATCTACAAAATGGATGATTTCTTATGGCAAAACTACTAATCATGTTACCCAAACAGATAATCAGGCTTAAAGGTGAAAGCATTCTGTACAATTTATTCAGCTTTTAGCAATATAAGGCACACATGATTAGATCCGTTTGATAGAGGCTCAGAGAGGTAACCAGGTCTGGTTCTGGTCCAGCCAGGAGCATCTCTAATGCACTAAAGTATGTTTATTTGTGAGTGGAAACTGGAGAAATGCACATCCTGGGGTAGGTGGAGTCCCATCTCCCCCGAAGATGGGGCTATAGCTGAGTCTGAGCCCACCTCTTCTAGTAGCTGGTCGTGACCCTTGCTGAGCAGTGGCCAGAGTGGAAGAACTTGGGGTTCAACCAGCTCTTGAAATCACCACGGAGTAGCTGCAGAGCGCAGGGGCACGGGACCAGAAGTCTAAGGTCTGGCCCCCTTGTTCGGGCATCATTGGCTGATTCAGGGTGAATCAGTTCATCCAGGCTCTGCTCCTTTTTCTGGGACATGGAAGTTTTATGGCTGTTTTACCTCATTAGTCTTTTAGTAACCCAATCATTCTGTGATTCTGTGACTTCTGTAGAGCAGGCCTGTCACATCCCCATGCAAACAGGCCACCAAATGCTAGAGGTGCTAGATGTCACTGCTCTCCTCTCTGCCTCCTCCATCCTCTGTGAGACTGATGGGGGGGGGGGTAATTATGCTGGTTCTGTGCTGGGCAAGAACATTCAATGGATTCCTTGCAACAACTCAACAAGTATATTTTATTGTGGTTTTATGGATGAGGAATGACATGCCAGAACCCGCAACTTAGTATAGCAATATAAAAAATTCAAGTTGCAGACAGGGTGTGGTGGCACATGTTGGTAATCCCTGCACTCGGGAGGCTGAGGCAGGAGGACTGCTGTGAGTTTGAGGCCAACCTGGGCTACATGAGTTCAAGAGCAGCCTGCTCTGCATAGTGAGACGTTGTCTCAAAAAGCAAATCAAACAAACAAAAAATCCAAATCCAACTAGCAGCTTGCTTCTAGAATTCAAGTTGCTTTGCACTGTGTTACAGGCCTGCTCTACTCTGTGGCTTTATACTGGCCCCTGGGGAAAACTGGTTTGCCTTGGAGGTGGGAGCAGAGTGCACAGCAGAGAAAATGTGGTTCGTTTGGGCCCAAGCCCTGCGAGTTGGAAAGGAGGGCAGTTCACACTGAGCCCACTATTTTTGCAACTGCTGTGCCAAGTGGGGCATCAAAGCAGCATTTATGCTACAAATTTACAAAGAATCCCAAAAGGTGCCGCTCTCTTTAGGGCAGAGTATGTGCTCTCAGGCACACAACCCCCACTGGCTTTGCCTTTTGTAGCTTTTTCTACCTCCTGGGAGCTGGTCCATATCCCTTGTGAGGCTGGTGGGAACCAAGATGGGGTGGCCACAGTTGCCACCTCTGCAGAGTTGATGTGTAGTGGGGACAAGTGGGGTGTACAAGCTAGGGGGTTGGTACTATTTCCGATTTGGTTGGGGAGTGGAGAAAGTTCCATTCTAAGAGCAGTCCTTTTTTATCTTAGCCTCTACCCCCTGAAATATTTCAGTCACTTATTCATCTATTAATTTAAAAATACATATATATATATATTTATTTTTATTTTAAAGAGAATAAAACCAAGCAAAATAAAAGAACAAAGCCAATCAAAACAAAAGAATGTAATGACACAGGACTTCAAACAATATGAAATCAACAATGAAATTACCATAATGCCTCTTGTTGTCTTCAAAATAGTTGCAGATACTTTCAGACGTAGTAAAAACCAAACAAACAGAACAGAATAAGAACCAATAACAACAAAACAATGAAAGCAATAAAGGACTCAACACAAGATAATAGTAAATCCAAAATGGCTACCGTACTATATATCTTGTTATCTTTTGTTGGAGACCACTACAAAGTGGCTCTGAGCAGGATTTAAAATTAATTAACTGTCTTTCTATGTTTATCTGTGAGTCTGTCCTAGACCTAGGCCCCTTGCCTGGCAATGGAAGCTGGTTCATAGTAAGTGAACCTCTATGAATCACTGGTCCTGGATGAGGCCTGTAGTGGCCTGTGAGGCTAGACATACCTCAAAGGGCAAGATAAGGCCACAGCTGTGGACACTTGGCTCAAACATCAGTTAACTAGATAGACACAGTAGCTGCAGGAATCATTCCTACCGTCTCACTCCTACCATGTCTTCATGATAAGATAGTTCTACTGAATTGACTTGATTCATTACTTGGAGATGTCCTTGAAGTGACAGCCTAGGTCCTGCTCATTGCCTGCACTTTCCTCAGTTTCTCCGCCCTTTGTTGTTGGACCTAATAAAAATGGGCGGTCTAGAGAAGTTTTTGTCCTAGCCCTCAGCCTCGAGCTCAGCTAAAGGGCTTTGACCCTCCTGGAGCCCTAAAATCACACCACTTGTCTCACTGTATTCAAACCTCTGCCATACACTTGTTTGGGAGATTGGGGATCTAGGTCAGGACCTGATAATTTTTGAAATAGCTTCCATATCGTCAGATATAATAAAATCAAACAAAACAAAACAGAATAAAACCCAACCCAACATAACAATGAAAATGATACAGGACTTCAAAACTAGATAATAGGGGAGTTAACAATGGCCACCCACCCTCAGAAGGAGATTCCCCATAAATACTACATTGTGTACTGTTACCCTATGAATAGATGATCAGACTATGGCTTTAGGCCTGCAGAGTCAGTGAAATACCCAACACCACAGCATTAAGTTTTATTTTATCCCAATAGCTTCATCACAGCCTGTGTTTCTCCAGATCAACTGGTTGCTTACAGGAAGGGGAGGGGGCTGGTCCTTCTTGTTTCTCAGCCTGTGTGCCAGAAGAGACTGGCATCAGGAGCTCCCCCGCCGCCAGCAGCCAGTGCATGGCACTGGTTTGCAGGAAGGGCTTGCTTCTTGGCGACTTCTAGTTCTCTTCCCCTGAAGTCTAAGAATGCTATTGACTCACGGGAAAAGGCTCGGATCCGGCTGTCCTCCAGTGACCCCCACGTAGTGCTGATTCACAGGAAGGGCTTACTCCTGGTGACTTCTTGTTCTCTTCCCCCACCTGGGTTTCATCTTGGACACTGTTGGCAGTTATTAGAGCATTTTGAGGAGGAAAAGGAGGGTGACAAGATGAGGTCTGTGTTTAATATGATCTCATGGCTGCAGGGAGGCAGGGAGACCAATGAGGAGGTTGTTTTATTAGGCCGTCAAGAGGTGAGGCTGACTTAAACTGGGTGATAGGCCAAGGTAGACAGAAATCATAGGATTTAGGATATTTACAAGATGTAACAATGGTTACTGATAGATTAGAAGTAGAATGTGGGGGCTGGGGATTTAGCTCAGCGGCATAAGCGCCTGCCTTGCAGTCGTGAGTTCGATCCCTGGAAAAGGAAAAAGATTAAAAAAAAAAAAGAATGTGTAAGAAAGAGAGACATAAAGGGCGGGTCTCCATTTTCTGGTTCTAAAGGCTGTAATAGATGGAACAATGGCCAACCAGTGATCAAGTCCTGATCCCTAGAACCCACACATGTTACCGCATGAGTGAATTCTTCCTTTTTTGAGTAATATATGTGATTAAGGACCTTGAAGAATTATCTAGCATTGTCGCTGTGGGCCCTCCATGTCCTTATGTGTCCGTATAAGAGAAGCAAATGGAGATGTTGAGTAGAGAACAAGGCCACGTGCCTGTGGAGGCAGTGACCCAGAGTGGCTGCAAGCCCTGCGTACCACACAGCAGCCATGAAACCTGAAGGGGCAAGGAGCAGAGAGACCCTGGACGCCCTCACCCCACCCTCTGCATCCCTCGGGGTAATGCAGTCCTGCCAGCCC